AATTAGGTTAGGGCTAGGCCATCAGTATGACACTCTCCTGGTGATAGTTTTTTCCCTTCCCAGGGTTACTTCGTGACAAGCTGGACTCCTACAATGTGGCATTCTACCTCTCTGGAATTCCTCCCCTTGTCGGAGGTGCTGTCCTTTGTTTCATCCCATGGATCCATAGTAAGAAGCACAGAGAGGTCCATAAAACCACTGGAGAAGAAAAGACAGAGAAAATGCTGGAGAACCAGAACACTCCACTGTAAAACTCATCTGGAATCTATAAGAAAGAATTTGACTCTGTTATTTAATGTCTTATATACCTCCGCTAGACTGGGCTTGCTTTCAGAAGTTTAAGCAAGTTTTCCTTTTATATGAATTGCAAATTTCTTATTTTTTTTAATCACATCCTAAGAATAATAGCACAATAATTGGGAAATAGAACCCTTATTACTACAAGAACCATTTTCTGCCACTGAATAAGCTGTCTGATATTTCCATAAGACCCTGGTACATGAAAATATGTCTGAAAGTCAAATATTGTGAGAATTTGAAGCTATCTCAGTAAAAGCAACTTTGGAAACTGTGAATGCTGTTTAGCTTCTACAAATATATAAAAATACCTCAAGCTATACTGAAAGGGTTGCAGTTTGTTTAGGACTGGAAATATTGTTTGTTGTCTCACATGCTGTTTTTAGTTCTGGTAGCTCTTTTAATTTCTTCTGTTATATGCAAACTTTTTATAGAATTTAAGTGAGATTTACCTAAACTTCAAGTTATGTTAAAGTTGCTTGCCTGCTGTTAAATAAGCTATGAAATTAAGTTCTGACTTGCTCTAGTGTCAGGGACCTTCCTGGAGCAGATGCTAACAATATATTCAATATCATATGTGAGATGAAAAGGATCCTGTTCATAAAGGCAGAGAAGTTCAAAAATCAGGCATTTCTTTCATTTACATTTGTTCCCTTTGGGTTTGCAGTATGTTTTAAAGTAGCCAGAAACACCCCAAATTTCTGAATTTGTTTAAATTGTAACAATAAAGTAAAGTAGAATGAATGAAAGATACTCTAGCAATTTTAACGTAGAATTTTTCTGACTTCTGAATTGTTAGCACTAGGACTTGATATTTAAACAGTCTTATTGAGCATGTTATCAAGTTGCAGTTTCAGGGCACAAATGGAAAAAAAAGTCTTTGTGAAGGAAATATCTATTTCTGATAGAAACAAGTGCTCAAATTGGTTTATGAAATTTATGGGTCTCGAATGGTTAAAAGCACTTATAAAGAGAAACAACTCCTACATTTCCAGAACTTTCTGGCAGGAACGTGTATTCATATGTATTTATCCTAGTGCACTCCCCATTAACATTCCCAGTGTTTTTTTCCTATTTATACACAGACAATTGTAAGAAAGCTGTTAAGAGTTTTAAGGACCTAAAATTAAAACCAAAATCATGTCACGAGTCAGACTCATCTGCAGAAAACAAACTCTTTCCTCATCCCTGAAGTTATATGTTAGTACATTTTTGTTTCTCATTTAGGTCTTTAAAAGTTAATAATATGCAAAGTATATTTAAATACTTAATATAGATACATACTAGATCTTCCTCAGATATAGCTTGTTCACCTGGGGAAAATGTCCTTTTCTAAAGCACCTCCAGGATCTGTTTCTAAATTCTCTGTAAGGAGAGAAAGTCTATTATATCCCTACTTACTTCTCAGCTTCTATTGTTTCTGAAAAGCAAAGTCCTTTCATTCCTTGTCTCTACCTAAGGATGGAGATCCCTGGAAAGCATATAGATTTATTGTTGATGGGAGGTGGGGATGGGCATGCAGTGGGCTGGAAGGAAAGGAGGCTGTTAAACAGCTAGAAAACCCACTAACTTTTCCTTTCAGTATCAGCTTTCTTATCTGCATCCTTGAAAGTTCAAAGTATAAACACTAAATGTTGAATCTATTTTTAATAGGATTTTCAATAATTTTGATTGTGAAGACATTAATCAACTTACTGTGGCATACACAGAGTTGCAACTTACTACTTCCAATATTTCCATATTTCATATTCAGGGGACTTAGGTTATTTGTTTTTTGGAAAGGTCTGTTGCATCAAAAAACAAAAATAAAAACCTTACATTTGACCATACTGCCCTTTCATGTTATTTTAAATTTTATAAAATGACTTAGTAATGACAGTGTAATACATTTTCAGGTTCTTCATTTATTCATGTCCAGTTATAAAAACATTTCCTCATTATTATCAGTGCTTTTGAGATCAGCAAAATCATACAATTAAGACCAATTGTTAAACCTGCCATTATAAAATTTTTTTTTTATGGTTTTAACGTAGGCTCCTAAGACTTCCTTCCCCCCACTCCCAATTTTACAGAAATAATTATAAAATAATATTTACTCTGTAAAGATCTCCAAAGTGTTTTTCCTTAAGTATTTATAATAAAACTTAGATCTCAGAATAGCACACATATATTTTGCCTATGTTGTTTCAGTCTAATAGAATGAAGCAAACCGTATCTATAACACCAAAAAAGCTCCACCATAATAGATTCTTCTGGAGAGTACTGTGCTATTATATATAAAGTTAAAAAGTATAAAAAGAAGCTAAATTCCATAATATGCATATTTAGTAATATGTTGTTTAGTACAAAAAGTTCTAAAAGTCTAAAGTTCTAAAAGTTCTACAAAGAAAATGAAAAATACTAATATCTACAAAGATATGTTTTAGACTAAGAAGTATTACTTGAATCTTTCTGTCAAAGTACATCTTTTATAATATCTGATCAGCGTTCCTATTGCAATGAAGTGATCTGATGGGCCTACAATTTTTTGTCGTCGTTGTTCAATCCATTTTTTGAGAGGAAAAGAATAGTCAGTACTCTGCTTTCTATCTCGCCATCCTAATTCTAATAGGACTCAGCAAATTCTCACATTCAAAAGGTTCTGGCATCTGAGGCCAACAATAACATAAGAAAGGGAGCAATTAGTATTCCTCTTTACAAAACTCTGGATCAGATATACCTGTAAACGATGCCTAAGAATCTTCCAGAAACATTTGGTTAAATTTATTGCAGTGGACATTACTGAGATCCATCCATTTCAGTAATAAACCACCCAGGTTATTGATACTTTATTCAAAATTTATAAATCTCTTTGATCACAGTTGCAATGCTTAGTCTATAGCCCTACTACAAAACTTGTAATTTCCACTGAAAATTCCAGTGGTTGCATTAAGCTTCCAATTCTATTCATAAATAGAAACATTTCGTGAACCACATATTATCTATTTATATATATTTGCAGATGATCACATGGACTCTGCCCAAGTATGGAGAAACCTTTGCTATTAGCTTCAACTTCTGACACTTTTAGAGTAAATGTATACTTTGTTGTAAACATATATTTCCTCTTTTCATATTATCTTTATCCTTATCATTCTTTTCCCCTTTCCTTCCCTCTTTCCTTCAAATATCTGCTGAAGAGTCCATCAACATCCTCGCTTAATTCTAATGGCTACTTACTGGTCCCTGTGGTTTCAGAGGATGCAACTCCACTCAATTTTGTGTAACCTGGAAAGTAGCTTGCTCTTAGCCTTCACTGTAGAGTTCTAATGATCTGCAATGGAAAAAAATTAAATATGTGATTAAAATTTGGGGAGGAAGTAATAAGTTTCATGTAATTGGCATCTTTTGTGCTAACATAAAACTTTCTATAAATGTTTAAGGTAAATGCTTTGAGAGAAAAGATTGTCAAGTTCTTAGCATATATTTTCAGAGAGCATAATTTTTTACTTTGATTTTCCCCTTCCTTTAAAGTTTTGTCAAATCTTAGTCCAGAGAGTACATCATGGAGGATGCCTTGGGATGTAGTGGGCCTCTCGAATGTGGTTCCTATTAAACCTGCCTTAGGCTGAGTCACACTTTAAAGTGAGTCTAGAGGCACAATGGAAAATATAAACTAATTAGCTACAAATTTTAAGTACATATTTCAAACTTAAACTCTTTAGGAAATTTCTAACACTGAAAAGTTCATTGTTGCTGTCATAAACATTAAGGAACAATTTCTGTCTTAAAGATTGTTGCTTTTTTCCAGTGTGTCAAAAGTAGAAGGAAGTGAAATTTTATTACTTTCTTTATACATGTATATTATTTTTTAATTTGAAAGACAGGTGGTATCTTGGCTAGTAGAAAAATGCATCATCAATAATTAATTTTTAAAAACACAAACCTTTTGCCTTGTCATTTAATTAACACAAAAGAACAATTTGCCATTCATAATGGTGATGTGGTAATGTGGAATAAGAACACACCATAGAAGGAAGATTTACTACTTTACTGATAATCATGAATTCTGATCATATTATACTCACTGATTTGTGTTGATGATTTGGCATAAAGGAAAACAAAAAGAGTGGAATTTGAACCATCTAGAGCAGAGTTTGAGAATGGTTCAGGGGCAAAGAATCATGAGGCGAAGAGCAATATCAGGCAGCTCTGGGCTCACTATCATTTCATAGCCACAGCCATGTTTATCATTTTATTTGTTGGCAAAGAATAATGCTTTGTTTTATAAATACACTATAGAGTGATACAGTTCTCAAGAATAAAGGGTCAAATGCCCATAGCTAAATGTGAAACCTACATACAATTTATAACCACAATTACTAAACTATTACAAATGTAGACCTCATCAGATGACTCGGGACAATAAAGACCTATGAAATAATTCAATGCCACATCTTTGAATCACTCAAAGAAACCTTGAAATTTGGGACATGGTTTACTTAGCTTATCCTTTTTAAAATTATCAATTTTTAAATAATGACCATTAATAATCTTGATCTCTGTACATTCACAGAAATCCATGGCACTATTTTCTTGACAGATATAATATAGGAGGCTACCTCATTTATGACACATAAGATTTCAATTTTTTATTGATATGTTAGAAAGACACTGGGAATGAAATGAAACCTTTCTAAATACTTGATCATGACAGTCCACCTACCTCAGCTTTCAGTACTAAAAGCCTTACTTAATCCTTGTTTAATCAGAAGGAAGCTAATGGTGATTCTCGGATTAAAAGGCAAGAGAATGCAAATTGTTAAGAGGGTCAAAATATTAGTAAAATTGCTTAAACGCTTTGTTCTGATAAATGGATATAAAAGGAACAAAAAAAGAATATTAACTCATGTGGCCTGTGGATAATCTAAAAAGAAAAAAACTGAAGAAATTTATAATCTATGTATAATAATGAACACTTATTAAAATGCTTTACCAGTGGCTTTTCAAATTATACTGGCAGCTTGATGATGAGATCTTGTTTTCATTTGTGTTTTCTTTAGCAGAAAGATGGATGATCACTGACAAGAGCTTGTTTGCTCGTGCCTTAATATTACAGCTTACATGTTAAACTCCTGTAAAAGGCTCCCCTTTCCTAATGATTTTTTTGTCTCAGTGGAGTTTTTGAAAATGCTTTTGTTGAGTGTGGCAATAGTGTAAGATTTAACCCACAAGTTCCCAATCTAATTAAAGATATTTCTAGTCTTTCAAAGAGTGCTGCAAGAAGAGTAATTTGGAGTTGAAGGTCACTAAGCACGTAAGTGATAGGAACTATCTATATAAAATAACATTTAGAAATCAAATTCAGTATGTGATACTATTTTGGAGCCTCTGATATATGACTTTTATTCTTTACCAGATTATACTTTTCAGCATCTATCAGTAAAAGAGTGGATTTTAAAAATATTTTAAACGTGTGTAAACACATTTTCTACTGTGATCTTCCCTAAGTGTAGTTTGCTAGCAGTGGTCCCCAACCTTTTTGGCACCAGGGACCAGTGCTCCTTTGAGAATCTAATGCCTGATGATCCGAGGTGGTGCTGAAGCAGTGATGCTAGCGCTGGGGAGCGGCTGTAAATACAGATGAAGCATCGCTTGCTCACCTCCTGCTGTGTGGCCCAGTTCCTCACAGGGGACCCCAGCTCTATAGTATGTTCTAATATGCTAGAAAGTAATGGGTAAATGTATCTTTCATAATTCAGCCTACATTGGAATACTATTTCAGGGACTGAGGGCTTGTTATCAAGAGTGTTGTATTTAGATTCCAGGCTATGAACAGACAGTATTTGATCACGATTGGTGCAAAATTTTGTGTTCCTTTCAAAATTTTTTTCTTTTAAAATATACGTAATATAATAGGAAGTGTTAGATTCAGCAGTATTATATATGTTGCATTTTGTATATACATCTGAGAAAAAAACACTTATAAAGCAATGATTGAGTTCAAATATCTACTTAGAGGTATGTACTTTTTGTTAAAAGATAGGCTTTAAAGTATGAAACTCAGAAGAAAATGATCACCAAATGAAAACTTAATGTTATTACCCTGTGTTTCCAACACAAAGTTAGGTGTTCAAAGTATTCAGAACTCCGAAGGTATGTGAAAAAAAATTTGTGTATTTTATAATATAGTCATATATTTGTGTGTTTGTGTGTATACACACAGAGAAGAATGTGCTCTGTCAGCATCTAGGTAGCCATTCAAGTCATGAGATAGGATGACATCACCTAGGGAGTGAGTATAGATAGACTAGAGAAGGGGTTCAAAAACTAAGCCACGATATACTCTCAATGTGTAGAGGTTAGGAGATCAGCAAGACACAGCAAAGCAGCTGAGAGGGAGTGGCTAGAAAGATTGGAGGGAAAAAATATACACACATACACACAACTTTCTATTGTGCTTGTTTAAATAGATATTTTAAGCTATATTTCAGGCTAAAATTGGAGTTGTGGGAGTCATCAATCTTAAAACTTGGATAATGAGTTACATTTTTTTTAAAAGTTCATACTGAAAGTATTCATCTTTCAGATTTAGCATAAAGATTTGAATTAGTAAGGACTATGTCTTGGTCAGTGTCAGCAAATCACAGACCTATAGTTTATCAAGGGCTCTCTCAGCATCATGGTTGTGGCTGTGTGACACTCACCTAAAATTCCACCCAAAATTCCATATGAGTTTCTGAGTTCTAATGTACCTATAAGTAGGATTCAGTATAAGTGGGGACCACGGGCTTTTATTTAATCATGCTGTCTTTATAGACTTTGCCTTAGCTCTAATTTGTAAGGATTTTATAAATATAAATTAGGAAAATGATACACACTGTAATTTTCCTAATTAGACTATACATTTAGAATTTACTACTGGATTCTCTGTTACTATTTGATAACTCCTATTGTTAACATAAGTTATATGTGGAAGGGAGAATGGGAGCTTGTTAATAAGAAGTTAGAGTAGGGTGAGATTAAATATACCTTTAATAATAGCTTCTGGTATAACTGTACTATACTGTGGTTTGAGAAATGTAAGATTGGACAGACATTGCACAATGCTTAATAAATTTGCATTTTGTCAGTATGTTCTAATACCAGTTTATTTTACCCTGAAAGTTATAGCTACAACAGACTGAACTCTGCAGTATTATTAAGAGAAAGCTTGGATATTTTAAGTATCTCCTAGTATATATCATATGACCTTTTTCATGCCAAATTAATGTTTATCTGAAAATGTTTATCTGAAAAGTAATTTTTAAATTATTTCGCATATTTTCAAAGTTGGAAAAACATGCTTTATTTAAGACACCAAAACCACATTATTCCAAGAGCACCCTGCACACCGCAGTGTAGCTCTGCTTCTCTACAAACACAGGATGCCAGTTTTGGTACAATAGTTGTTTAAATAGATCACATGTGAAATGATTATGTTGAGCTTGATCAGTATACAGTATTTTAGTATGTGCCTTTAAAAATATTTTGTTTCTTTTTAAAGCATAGAATTTATAATTGATTTTTATAATGTGCAATTTAATATAGATAACCCAAACCTTTTTAGTTAAGAGCTTTGTACTAATTTGGAAAGTAAGATCATTTTATTGTGGAACAATAATATATTCTCAGTAAATGCAATAAAAAAATTTTAGCAAATTTCTCTAAGGCTTTGTGATTACATTTATAGAATTCCTGAGGAGAGGGAGGAAGAAAAAATTACTAAAGTGAAGGAAAGTCTGTGTTGAATAAAATAAAAAAGCTGTGTGCTTTTTAGGCTGCATATATGTATTCCAAGTATGTTTGAGCATTGCTATTTCTCTGAAACAAAGAACAGGGATAGAAACGATCCAAGATCACGGACATTTCAAGAACTATTTCTATTTCTATTTGATATTCTTTTTCTTTTTTTTTTGTAATTGACTTACATAACTGTTTCTTTCAGTTACACTGATTATACTTATTAAATTCACCTGGTACTAGGTGACGTCCTACTCACTGATAATTTTAGATGATGATCGAGCAGGCTGGAATTTTAAAAATCAAGCCCATTATTATGGATTACCTACAGTCAGAGGATGTTTATTATTTGATGATCCCTAACTACAGAGCAAATCACTATTTTTGTTTAATGGCACTGAAGAGATTTTTTACATTAAACTTAAGAATGTGGAATTTGTAATATATCATTTAATCTGATAATTATTTACATGCCTGCACATAAATGCCAGAATATACAGGCCACTGGAGGGCTTTTTTAGAAAACGGGGAGAGAATGGATATGACAAATTG